TGGCCTCCCCTCATGCACCCTGGCCTCCCCTCATGCACCATGGCCTCCACTCACACACCTGGCCTCCCCTTACACGCCTGGCCTCCCCTCACATGCCCGGCCTCCCCTCACACACCATGGCCTCCACTCACGCACCTGGCCTCCCCTCACGCACCACGGCCTCCCCTCTCTCACAATGGCCTCCCCTCATGCACCACGGCCTCCCCTCTCTCACAATAGCCTCCCCTCACGCACCTGGCCTCCCCTCACGCACCCGACCTCCCCTCACGCACCACGGCCTCCCCTCTCTCACAATGGCCTCCCCTCATGCACCACAGCCTCCCTCTCTCACCGCAGCCTCCCCTCGCACACCCCAGCCTCCCGTCCCGTGCCCCGGCCTCCCCGCAGCGCTCACCGCAGCGCCCTCGTCCAGGTAATGCTCGGGCACGGGCAGCCGCTGCTCGGGGAGGCGCGGCGGGCCGCGCTGCCTCTCCTGGGCCGCCCAGAGCGGCGCCGCCAGGTCRGGGAAGTTCTCGAAGAGGTCGAAACCCTCCTCCGTCCAGTGGCCGAGCGCCCAGTTGCCCAGCTCGGAGCCCTGCGGGCGAGCGCTGAGCACCCCGGCGGCGGCTGGCACCGCGGGGCCGCCCCGGGCACCCTGCGTACCGCGGTGCGGGCCAGCTCGTAGCCGTCGGGGTTGAGGGAGGGCACGAGGTGGATGCGGGTCTCGGCSACGAGCGCGCGCACGCGCGGGTTGCCGTCGCGGTGCTCCTTGCACAGGAACTGCATGAGCAGCAGCAGCAGCTCCCGGCCCAGCACCTCGTTGCCGTGAAGCCCGGCCGTGTAGCGGAATTCGGGCTCGCCTGCGGGTTCGGGTGCCYGGTCAGTGCCCGCCGAGGGGCCTCGGCCCCGCAGGGCCGGCCCCAAGGGGAGACCCTCACCGGTCTCGTGCTCGCCCGGGTTGTCGGAGATCTCCATGGCGTAGAGCTTGAGCCCCCGCGAGCTCTTGCCGATGTTGTAGATGCGGGTGATGGTGGGACACTCCTCGTTGACGACCTTCATGAGCTGGGGACAAGCGCGGGCGCACGTCAGCGGGACAGGGACAGACATGGGCCGGGCCACCCCTGGGTGCCACGCGGAGCGCTCCGGCCTCACCTGCCGCATGTCCTTGTAGCTGTGGTGGCGGAAGTCCAGGTTGTCGCTGGACGTCACCTCGTTCTGCTGCGCGTAGTAGCTGCTGATTCCTGCACGGGGGAGCGGCGCGTTGGCACTGCCACCYGGCCCCAGCAGCCCTCCGTGCCCGGTACCCGGCGCTCACCGGAGAGCGGGCAGCCCAGCACCTCGAGGCGCATGCAGAGGCTGCCGTTCCAGCTCCGGGGGAAGACACGGATGTAACGGGCCACCACGGGCTCCGGGAACTCGGTCAGCACCGGCGTGTCCTTGTCCACGTTGCCATAAAACATCTGGCGCGGGGAGGCAGAGACGGGGACGGAGCTTTGCCGGGGCGCTCCGGCGCGCGGGCACCCGCCGGGGCGTCCCCCCCTTACCATCTCCTCATAGCCGTTGGTGTACATGACCCACGTCTGGCTGTCGTTGCTGAAGCCCACGTAGAAACGGGTGACAAAGTCCTCGCTGGGGGACAGAAGGGGCCAAGGCTGAGCAGGGGGTCGGCGAGGCACCGAGCGCGCCCCGCGGCCCCACGGCCGCCCCTACTGGAGCTGCGAGTCCCGGCCCTGGGTGACGACGCCGGTGAACTTGGTGGTGCGGCGGGTGTCCACCTCGAGCCAGTGCGTCCGCCCGTCGTCCTCGGCGCACCAGGCGCCGTCGAAGAAGTCGTCCTCGTTGGCACCCGCCTGGGAGGGACGAGGCGGCCCGTGGGGCACCGGCGCCGTGGGGAGCCCCTCGCCCAGCGCCGGGGCTCACCTGCATGTTGAGGCGCCCACGCTGGGCGCCCAGGCCGTGGCGCAGCATGGACGAGGCCAGAAGCTGCTCGTCCTCGATGCGGTGCGACTCCAGCCCAATGGGGGGACACTCTGCCACAAGGCGGGCAGGGAATGGGGGGGGTGGCACTGGTGTCCCCTGAGGGGTGCCACGCCGCCCCCGCCAGCGCTGGGGCCCACTCACTTGTCTTCTCCTCTGGAGGCGCCCGCTCGTCCTCGTCTGGGTCCCACTTCTTCCCACTGGGTTTTTTGGGTTTTCCTGGGAAAATAAAAGAGGGTGTGAAATGGAGAAGCAGGAGGAAGAGGCTGGAGTGGGTGGGATGCACCCTGGGTACAGCACCCACCTTTGCGGTCACGGCCCTTCTCCTCTGCCCAGGGGTCCTCCTCTTCCTCCTTGCTGCTGCCACCCTTCTTGTGCGTCCCTGGGGCCGGAGAGGGCATCAGGCAGGTGACATCCTCCCCAAGGGACCCTCCACCCACCCTGAGGGGCCCATTACCCATCTCAGGGGACCCATCACTCGCCCCGAGGGACCTGTCACCCTTCCCAATGGACCTGTCACCCATTCAGAGGGCCCCATCATCCAGCCTGAGGGACCTGTCACCCATCCCAAGGGACCCATCACATGCACGAAGGACTTGTTACCCATCCCAAGGGACCTATCACCCGCCCCGAGGGACTGCGTTTCTCACCCAGCTTGAGTTTCTCCTCATCCGTCTCCATCTCATCCTCTTTATCCGGGTATTTCTCSGGCTTTGCTGGTGGTGGTGGCGGCAGAGGTGGCAGCCCATAGTCCACTGCGGGGCGAGAAGCAAGGAACGGGGTGCTGGGGGATGGCACCCCGGGGGAACACTGAKCCCCCTAAAACGGGGGCCAGGGGGGCTCAACGCTCACGGTCATCGTAGTCGGGACGCTCCAAGCCATCCTCGTAGTCCCGCTCAGGCGGCGGCGGCGGCGGTGGCGGCTCGGCTGGGGCATGAGAAGGGCAGTGCCAGGGCCGGCGCCGGCAGCCCCTGCACCCCACAGTCCCCACGCACCCCACGGGGTCCCCTCCGCCCCCCGCACTCACTCGGCTTCTCCGCTTCGGGCCAGACCCGCGGGGGCTTCTGCCTGCTCGGGGGCTTGCGGGGTCTCTGCTGCCGACGGATGTACTCGACTGCAGGCAGCAAAGGGCAAGGTGACAGGGGGGTAAATTTGGGGACAAAGGGCCACCCTTGGGGACCTCAGGGTCCCCTCTCCCCCCGGGCACAGATGTCCATACAGTCCTCATAGTCCTCGCGCTCCAGCTGGTCGTTGTAGTCCAGCGTGGGCGGCTCTGTCTCCTCCGGCAGCTCTGCGGGGATGAGGGGGGCAGGTTGGAGGGGTTCCCCACKGCTGTCACCCCCTCTCCGTGTCCCCATGTCCCCCCATGCCACTGCGCTCACCGAAATCCCCCCATGGATCCTGTGCTCCCGGCTCYGGCGGTGGCTCCTCAGCTTTGCCTGGGGACGGAGGGACAGAGGGGTGGAGGGGACACCCCCCCCCC